GACCAAGTGTGTTAGCTAATGAATTTATTTCATTTGTAAGGATGTTATTTATATATTTAATAAATTTTGGTATTTATTAGCACGTTACTTTTTTGTTTTATAAATATTTTCTTTTTTTTTTCTTTTTTTTTTTTTTTGGAGAGGCAGAGTTAGACACTGAGAGAGAGAGAGAGAGAGAAAGAGAGAGAGACAGAGAGACAGAGACAGAGAAAGGACTTCCTTCCATTGGTTCACCCCACAAATGGCCACCGCGGCTGGTGCACTGTGCCGATCCAAAGCCAGGAGCCAGATGCTTCCTCCCGGTCTCCCATGTCGATGCAGGGCCCAAGCACTTGGGCCATCCTCCACTGCACTCCCGGGCCACAGCAGAGAGCTAGACTGGAAGAGGAGCAACCGGGACAGAATCCGGCACCTCAGTCGGGACTAGAACCCGGGGTGCTGGCGCTGCAGGTGGAGAATTAGCCTAGTGAGCTGTGGCGCTGGCCCATTTTCATCTTTAAATTTTATTAGAAAGGCAGAGAGACAAAAATTGAGATTTTCTGTCCTATGCTAAGATTCACTCCCCAAATGCCCACAATTGGCAGCTGTGCCAGGCTGAAGCCAAGAGTCCTGAATTCAGCTTCGTGCAGGGACCTAAGTACTTGAGCCACCACGTGCTGCATATCGGGACTAACCTGGAACTGGAAGCAGAGCTGGAACGCAAACTAGGAACTGTAATATGGATGTGTGTGTCCCAAGTGATGTCTTAATCACTGCGTCAAGCCACTGCTACTGTAAGGCTATTTTGAAAGATACTATATTGGTCAGCTTGTGGTCACAACAGGGAGATACCTGGGGTGAATTGGGCAGCTCCATTGGTTTTGTCTCTGATGAGCATAGTGGGTGGCAGTGGCAGATTGCATATGAAAGATCATTGGAGAGCCAGGAAGCAGAGAGATGTAGGATGTTTTAACAACCTCATCCTGAGATCTGTCTTCTGAAGGTACTCCCCCAGTGATGTCAGGACCTCCTGCTAGGCTCTACCTCCTAAAGTTCCCCTGACTTATGGGTGCCACCCTGGGGACCAGCCCTTTAACATACGGTCCTTTGGGGGTACATTTAACATCCAAACTGATATCCAAACCATACAAGTATATTTCACCATTTAATAAAGTCTGTGAACATACCAGGATATATTTGTGTGTGTGTGTGTGTGCGCTCATGTGTGTGTATTTTTTTGTCATTTGCTTCTCCAAGAAGCTAGTCTCAGTTTATGAAAGCTCAGATTATGTGTAATTGTCTTCAAAAGTAACTTGCTTTAAAGGACTTCTACCCCCATTATCATTACGTTCTGTTTTGTTTAATAGCTATGTAATCAAGTTTACTATTCTTGCTTATTGTTTATTAGATTACTGCTTTCAACTCCTAGTTTAGTTCTTCAATCTGAGACTAGCAGTTACATAGTTAATTTCATTAAAGCAAGATTGTCATTCCAGAGAGCATTCTGTGCCTTCAGGATTTTGTTTGTTTGTTTGTTTGTTTTGTTTTGTTTTTTTCCCCCTTTCAGGTTAGATGTATGGCATATTGTTTAAGATGCTGCTTGGGATACCCACATCCCATCTTGGAATGCCTGTGTTTGAGTCCTGGCTTTGTTCCCGATTTCAGCTTCCTGTTGGGCCAGGCCAGGCGGAAGCCAGGAGCCAGGGACTCATTCCAGGTCTCTCACATGAGTGGCAGGGGCCCAGACACTTGGATCATCTTCTGCTGCCTTCCCAGCCACATTAGCAGGGAGCTAGATCAGAACTGGAGCTGCTGGGAAAGTTGATTTAGGATGTGCATAGGTTATATGCAATTGCTGGACCATTTTATATAAGGAATTTGAATATCCATAGATTTGTTATTGGCAGAGGTTGTAGAACCAAGCTCTTGTGGATCCTAAGGGACAACTGGATTCTGCTGGGATGGTTGAGATTGCATTTAAGCTACTTATCAATCTGAGGAAAATTAATACTTTAACAACATCAAATTGATATTCTAACTTCATCGAGCCTTTCAGTATGTCAGTATAGCATATTTCCTCATTTTTTATGTCTTTGATTAATCAGTTTTATAGTTTTCAGCATATAGATGCGGCACATACTTTGTTGATTTATAGCTAAGTATTTCTCTTTTTTGATAACATTGTAATTGCTACTGTTTTAATATTCTTTGATGTGGGGCAGGTGTCGTGGTACAGTGGTTAATGCTGCTGCCTGTGATGCTGGCATTCCATATGGACCCTAGTTCAAATCCTGGCTACTGCACTTCTGATCCAGCTCCCTGCTAACGGACTGGGAAAGCAGTGAAGGCAGCCTAAGTGCTTGGGCCTTTGCCACCCTGTGGGAAACATGGATGGAGCTCCTGGCTCCTGGCTTCATCCTGGCCCAGTGCTGGCCATTGTGGCCATCTGGGGAGTGGACCAGCAGATGAAAGGGTCTTTCTCTCTCTCTAACTCTGACTTCAAAATAAATAAGTCTTTAAAAAAATAAAATTTTTATGTACTAATTTATTGCTAATATGTAAAAATACAATTGATTTTTGTCTGTTGCTCTTAGATCCCCTTGACTATTTAAAATTATACACTAATTCTAGGAGCTTTTTTGTAGAGTTCTTTGGATTTCCTATTTCATGTGAATAAAGTCATTTTCCCCCTTCATTTCAAATTTGTATGCCTTTGATTTCATTTTCTTTCCTAATTGCACTAACTAGGGCTTTCTAGTACATGCTGAATAGAAGTAGTGAGAACAAACATCCTACTTTGTTTCTGGCCTTTCATTAGTATTTTATTATTAAATATAATATTAGCTGTAGGTTGATTTAGTTGCCCTTTATGAGCTTAAAAAAATCCCTTGTATTTCTGTTTTGCTGAGTATATCTTTCTTTATAATTTGGAAGAGATAATGGATTTTTGTCTAATGCTTGCGTTTCAGCTATTGAAATACTCATGTAGCTTCTCTTGTTTAGGTTGTTAATGATTTATTCCATTATTTGATTTTTAAATACTGAATCAACTTGCATTCTTTCATAAATCCTACTGGCTTTTGAGCCATATAATTTTATATAGTCATATTGGATTTGCTTTTTTTTTTTTTTTAAAAAAAAAAAGATTATTTATTTGAATGGCAGAGTTAAAGTGAGAGTGAGGAAGAGACAGAGAGGACACATGAGGAGTGAATTAACAGATGGCCAGAGCTGGGTTGGTCTGAACCCAGGAACATGGACCTTCTTCTGCGTCTCCCATGTGGGTGGCGGGGGCCCAAGCACTTGGGCCATCCTCTGCTGTACTTCCCAGGCCATTAGCAGGGAGCTGTTTTGGAAGTGGAGCAGCTGGGACTCAAACCCACTGTGGCGCTGGTCCCTGGATTTGCTTATATCTCATTGAAGGTTTTATGTATGTTCATGAGGGATATTGTATGCTGTTTTCTTAAAGCGTTTTTGTCTCTTTTTTGGTATTTTTTTGGTATTTCCTTTCTCTTTTTTCGGTATTTTCATCTCTTTTTTTGGTATTTTTTTTGTCTCTTTTTGAGTTGGGAAGTATTCTCTCTTCTATTCTCTGGAATATTTTATGTTTAGTAGGTATTTTTTTTTCCCTGAATGCTTTGTAGAGTTTGCCATGAAATATCTGAGCATCTTGTTTTCTCTTTTTGAGTACTGGTCACAATGAATTTGCTTTTATTTATATATATTGAACAGTCCAGGAGATCTAACTTCTTTTGAGTGAGTTCTGGTAGTTTGTATCTCTCAGGATGAAATGACCCATTTCATCCCCGTTGCTGAGGTATGGGCACAGAGGTGTGCCCAGTTTTCACTGTTTTAACGTTTGCAAGGTCTATTGTGATATCTTTGATTTTATTCCTGCTAGAAATTGTTTCTCTTTTGTTTTATGTATTTGACTTGTCTGACTAAAGGCGTACCTGTTTTGTTGATCTTTTCAAAGAGCTAGCTTTTTATATTTATGAATTTCTGTGGTGTTTTTGGTTTGTTTGTTTTCAGTTCCATTATAACCCTTTTGATTTTTTACTCTTTATTGTTTTCCTTTTGGTTGCTTTGAGTTTGAGTTGCTCCTCTTATCCATTTTAAGGTGGAAGACCCCTGATTTGAGTCTGCTTTTTCTATCATAGGTATTTTCATGCTATGAATTCTCTTTAAGCTCTACTTTGACTGCATTGTCCACATCTTGAAATATTTTCTAATTTCCCATGAGACTTCCTTGGGCAACATATGTGGTTGTTACGTTTAGATGAGTTGTTGAATTCCCATATTTGGGACTTCTCATCTATCATTCTGTTAACTCATGTGTAGCTTAATTTCATTGTAATCAAATAATATATTTAGGTGCCATTTCAGTTATTTTAAATGTGTTAAGCCTTGATTTATTGAGCTAAATATTTATGTACATCTGAAAGGAATATATATTCTGTGGTTGTTTGGGACTACAAAGGGAAAATGTTGTAGCTTTTTATAAGATCAGACCTTAAGTCCTAATTGTTTTATAGCCAATTGGGCACTATAACAAGATGCTGATACTTAGAATACAGTCTTGTGTTGGAGATGTGGTTTCATCATCATGTGAACAATATAGGACAATATAGGTTAGACTCACATGAATGTTCATGTTATGTGTCCTCCAAACACAGTGAAGAGGTTTGGTAGAGGTGTGGTAGACAGACTTCCAAGGCTGCTGCTGGTATAACATGACAGTGTTTTAAAGTCAGGTTTTTTTTTTTTTTTTTTTTGGTAAGTAGAAGGAATACATTCTAAAACGGAGATACAAAGAATAGTGTAGTAAATATGTAGATCATTAACATAGTGGGTTAATGTCATTATCAAGTGTTGTGTACTATGTGTAATTGTATATGCTGTACTTTTCACATCAGCATCACCATAAGCACGTAAGTGATGGGTTGTGTTGTGATGTTACAACACCTATGATGTATTGCGATGATAGGCATCTTTCAGCTACATTATAACCTCATGGGACTTCTGTTGTACATGCAAGTTTGTCATTGACTGAATTGTTATGTGGTTCATGACTCTACCTGGTTCTAGATAGACCTGAATTTTACTGACTATGCAAATAAAATTTTACAGGATCCCCCATTTATTAAATAGAAGTGACAGATTTGATTTTGTAGAACATTTCTGTTCTTTAGGATAGTTTTCATTTAATTTTGTAATGAAGGATTTAAGACTTAATATGTTCACTCTTTTTTAAATTTTCATTCTTTTGAAGATTTATTTATTTGAAAGACAGCGTTGCAGAGAAAGAGGGAGAGAGAGAGATCTCTTCCACCTGCTGGTTCACTTATCTGGTAGCTGCAACGGCCAGTGCAGGACCAAGCCAAAGTCAGGAGCCAGGAAGTTCATCTGGGTCTTCCACATGGATGACTGGAGCCCAAATACTTGGGCCATCTTCCACTTCTTTTCTCAGGCAGATAGCAGGGAGCTGGATTAGAAGCAGAGCAGCCAGGACACAGACCGCCTCTGGAAATTATTAAGAAACTGATCATTGGAACCCATGCCATTGTCTTCTGTCACTCAGAATAACAAAATGCAACAGCACAAGACAAATAGGTTGTTAATAATTAGATTTCAATTCTAATCAGATACGGGTGTTTATTTAATTTAGAGAGAGGAATAAAAGTTGGTTAGATACATTAGGTAAGTATAATGGAAAAGTGGATAAAAGGAAATACAGATAGGACTAGGACTGTGTTTATATTTTGAATAGAGAAGGGTACGTAGTATGTTAAATAGTAACCTAAACATTTTAGGCATATAAGAAAATCTGCAAAGCCTTTCTTCAAAAGGTATTGGTTTAAAAAAATTAAAATTTTTTAAGCAAAAGGGCCAAATTGTTTACTTTAAAGCTTTTATGAGTGTTCAGCTTAATGTATGAGTTAGCTATTCATGCTTTTAAAATATGTGCAGATTAATTTACTTATAAATCTATCTTGAGCCTAAGACAACCATTAGCAAGATTTTATGCAAAGTTAATTACAGATTGAGTGCATTTCAGATTTCAGATTAAGGATGCTCAACCAGGAAAGTCTATGCAGATATTCCAAATTTTGAAAAACTCCGAAATCTGAAACAGTTCTGGTCCCAAGCATTTCAGATAAGGGATACTGAACTTGTAATAGAAAATCATAAGGAGGGAACTTTGTTGGTAAAATTCATATTTAAATTGAAATTACTCTTATATTTACTAATACAAAATAATCATCTATATTTAAATTACCTCTATGTAATCAATTTATTTCTATAAATTGAAATACATTTCTAGGAAATTCATATTTTCTAATTAGTGAGTTACATATTGTTAGTGTGATTATTTAATGTTATTTTATTGGTAGGTTATTCTTCAGCATTTGGTTTTTACAAAATTTAACTTTAAAATAGTGGAGTCATTATTTGTATAAAGAAAGGCATAGATGAGCTCCTTGTAACTGCAGTCTACATTAAGATTTCCACTCTTTAGCAGTTTCCCGTGTCCTTTCTCACCCAGTAACTTCTTCAGAAGAAAGGAGACTGCTATTCTGACTTTGCAACCAGATTAATTTGTTTTTCTTTTGAATTTTGTACAAGTAAATTGCATACCATGTGCTTTTTCTTTTTATTTTTTTTCTGGGCTCTTTCACATAGAATGTATTTCTGAGATGTATCATATTTTGTTTGTGGCCTTGTTTTTCATTTTTGCTGAGGTGTAAGGTTTCAGTGTGTGAATATCCTAGAATTTATTTCTCCCTGTATATTGATAGATTTAGATTATGTACAATTTTGGGCTCTTCTTGTACATACCTTTTAGTACATGTGTACACATTTCTGTTGAGTTTATACCTAGGCATGGTACTGCTTAGTCAGTGGGAATATGTATTTTCAGTTTTAGTTATTTCCAAAAAGCTTTCCATTCTGTGCACACCATTTATATCTCTACCTTCAAGGCATGAAAATGACAGTTGAAGCCCAATCTTGCTTATACTGGTGTTGTTTGTGTCTAGATAAAAGTTAATCGTTTTCATCGGTATCTCATTACGATGTTAAATTTGTATTCTCTTGATATTCCTGATATTAGCTTTTCTAATTGTCTTTTGTCAATTTTTTGGTTTTTAGCCTCTCTTAAAAATTGTTGCTTTTTTTTCTTGATGATTTGATGCTTTTTAAAAATTAAATATATTTTGGATATGAATCATTTGTTAGACATGCACATTGCTAATATTTTTCCTATTCTGTAACTTGCATTTTCACTTTTTTAAAAAAAGAATAGTTTTTAGTTGTAATGAAATCTACTTTGTTGTGCTTTTCGGTATATCCTTTTAAAAAGCCTTCTAACTGAAAGTCATGCTGATTGTGCCATCTTACAGAAGCTTTATTATTTTAAATTTTATATTTGGTTCTCAAGTACACCTCCCTTCTCCCCTTTTTTAATGGCCTGTGCATGGATGTCATTAATTTGATTGCTTATTAACAGTAGTGGTCTCTGTTGGTATGACTTACTCATAAGAAAACGTTTCATTTTTATATGTGGTATTGTAATGTCTAGTATGGCAACATTTTCTGCTAGTTAAGATAAATGATTTTTATTCTGGTGATTCTCTAAAAGCACTTTAAAAACAGCTTTTTTTCCTGGCTCTGAAATGGGCAGTTTTACTTCATAATATGTGATGTTCTCCCTTATATGGAATTTTGCTTTTGAGGTGTCTTAGTGGTAGTTTTAAACCATCAAGTTATGCAGTCAGATGTAGCTACTGTATTTAAGAAGTACTCCTACTCACTATAAGGCATGCAGTGATTAAAAAAAGTTTTCAGTTCCAGACCAAAATGCTTAGCAGACAGGGAGCTCTGTAAATGTTGTTATTGGTTTTATTTTTGAATTTTTGAACTTAAGATGACTTGAGAGATGACTAAAAGGATTTGTAATTTGTGTTTTTTTTTTTTATTTTTTTTATTTTTTTTATTTTTGACAGGCAGAGTGGACAGTGAGAGAGAGAGACAGAGAGAGAAAGGTCTTCCTTTGCCGTTGGTTCACCCTCCAATGGCCGCCGCTGCAGCTGGCGCACCGCGCTGATCCGATGGCAGGAGCCAGGATCCAGGTGCTTTTCCTGGTCTCCCATGGGGTGCAGGGCCCAAGCACCTGGGCCATCCTCCACTGCACTCCCTGGCCATAGCAGAGAGCTGGCCTGGAAGAGGGGCATGTAATTTGTTTATTATAAAATTAATTACAGCAACTTTTATAAATAGTAAAATTCATTTGCCAGTTTATGCAGTTTTTTAAATTATGGGTAAAATATTTAAATATTATTTTTTATTTTTTAATGCTTTATCTATTTATTTGAAAGGCAGAGTTAAAGAGAGGCAGAGGGAGAGAGGTCTTTCATCCGCTGGTTCACTCCCCAAACGGCCAGAGCTGGGCCTAACCGAAGCCAACAACCAGGAGCTTCTTCCAGCTCTCCCACATGGGTGTAGGGACCCAAGGACATGGGACATCTTCTACTGCTTTCCCAGGTTATAGCAGAGAGCCAGATTGGAAGTGGAGCAGCCGGGACTTGAACCAGTGCCCATATGGGATTCTGGCACCGCAGATGGCGGCCTCACCTGCTACGCCACGGTGCTGGCCCCTACATTTTATTTTTGCTATCAACAAACACAGAGAAGGAGAGGGAGGGAGGGAAGGAGAGAGAGAGAGAGATAGAGAGAGATAGAGATATCTTCCATTCGCTGGTTTACTCCCCAACTGGCCACAACTGCCGGAGCTGCAGAGAGAGAGAGAGAGAGAGAGAGAGAGAGATCTTCCATTCACTGGTTTACTCCCCAACTGGCCACAACTGCCGGAGCTGCGCTGATCCGAAGCCAGGAGCCAGAAACTTCTTCCATGTCTCCATGTGGGTGCAGGGGCCCAAAGACTTAGGCCATCTTCTGCTGCCTTCCCAGGTCCATAGCAGAGATCTGGATCGGAAGTGGAGCAGCCAGGACTTGAACTGGTGTTTATATGGGATGCTGGCACTGCGGGTGGCAGGTTTACCTGCTGTGCCACAGCACCGGCCCCATTGGTTCTACTTAAAAAACAAATTTTATTTGAAAGGCAGACACACACATGTGTTCCACATGCCTACTCCTGATCTGTAATTTTTAAAATTTATGATAGAGCTCATTATTTTTGTGGTCTAGTGGACTCTTCCAACATTTTTGTAATTTTTTAGCTTCTCTAAATATTACATTTGAAATTTGTTATTTATAAAATTATTAAAATGTTTTATATTATATGCCAAAGTTTTAGTACATGCTTTAAATTTTAAAGTGTTGAACACCAACATGCTACTTTAGTAAATGGAATTTTTGTGTAGATTTTACAGAGTAGATGAAATCTTACAGTTGAAAAATTTTCTTTTTTTTTTTTTATTTAGGGAATCTCAACCATCAGTGAGATTTTTAAAGACATATGAATTTTTGGTAAGTACCTGTTCTCCATGTTAAATTCTTTTCCTGTTACTAAAGTTTATACATATGCTAAATGAATGACATTTACAATGGCCAATGTAAAATATCAGTATAATTTATGTTTCTTTCAACTTCTACTTAGGCAGTAGAGTTTTTTCATTTCTGACCCTTTTTATAAACAGTTTTCAGAAAATTCTTCTTGTGTGCAGATTAAATATTAAGAGTTCAAAAAAGATGGTTTTAGAGGGCAGGAATGCTAATACTTTAGGAATGAACCCGAAATTTCTCTACTTCAACTTTCATGATAGTTCTCTGTTAGCTGCTGACATTAGTTCAGATTTCTTCTTTAGCTGTCCGTTGTTTGACTCTTTCTAATGGTGTTTTGTTTGCTACAACATGACAAGATAAACCCCCTTACTACAGCCAGGCTGTATTTTGTTTCCTGTCCAATTTCTTTGTGCCAAGAATAAAATATGAAGAATGTTGTAGGTGTAACAGTTAAGACTTTTATAAACTTATCATTTCACTAGATAAAGTAACTTACACAATTTTAGTTTTAAATAAAGGTAGATGAGTTCATCTCAGAATGTATTTTCCTTCAGCTATGCAATGTTTCAGATTTGCATGCATGGTGATTATAAATGCTTTGGTCAATCACGATTTAAAAATTAGTAAGTATACTTCAAAAGTGGGAGAGGTGTGCATAGATACCATGTCATCAAATGGTTAATATGTGATCTTTTGGTGATGGTTTCTGACGTAGCCCATGAAAGATATTTATGGAGGAATACATTATTGGACTGGGTAAAGGATTTTTCCTAGATAAAACATGAGAGGTCTACAGAAAGTTTGTGGAAGATGCATATCTTGAAATATTGAGCATAGATTTCAATTTTTTTTGGCACCAAAGTAAACTTATTTTTAAATTTCATTTTCTACAGTCTTTTTGAAGTAGACTCATATTTAATGATAAACATTAGTTTCTTTTATACTTTTTCATGTGTTTGAAGCAATAAATAGTTCAGCAGTGATGTTTTAAAATTCTA